ACATCATAAGATCGTTTTTCAAAAACAGGTGCATTATCATTAACATCGGATACTCTGATATGTAATGTCTTTTTATTCGAGAGAGATGGATTACCGTGATCGAAAGCTCTGATTGTGATGTTATATTGAGCGATTGCTTCTCTGTTTAATTGTTCTTTAGTTTGTAAAACAAAATAATTTGTTATAGATGACTTTATTATAAAGGGGCTATTTTCAGTAATCTCACATGTGACCTCGCCATTTTCTCCCGAGTCTAAGTCTTTAATATTAATAACTGCAATAGTAGCTCCGGGTAAAGCGTCTTCAGAAACTGGATTAGTGAATGATGTCAACGTTATAACAGGAATGTTGTCATTCACGTCAATGATATCGATAATAACAGCACAAGAATCTGTAAAGCCGCCGTGATCTCTCGCTTCAAGATTCATCTCATATATCTGATCCTTTTCAAAATCAATGCTTCCTCTTACAAAAATGTCGCCCGATTTATCGTCAATTTCAAACACTCCGTTTTCTGTTTCAGATATCTGTCTAAAGGCGTATGTCACTTCACCATTAACGCCTTTATCTGAATCAACTGCACTTACTGCTGTCACAAGTGTCCCATTGGGTGAGTTCTCTAGGACAGTGGCTCTGTAGAGCTTCTTGGTAAAAACTGGAGCGTTATCATTCGCGTCCAAAACCTTTACATTTATTTTCATCGCACCGGACCTCGGAGGGTGACCTCCGTCTACAGCAGTTAATGTTAGAGACAAGTCCTCCTGTTTCTCTCTGTCTACGGGGGACTGTAACATCATCTCAATATATTTAGTGCCATCAGGACGGGTCTCCTGTTTTAATACAAAGTTATCAGTCGGTTTCAGACTGTAGCTCTGTATAGTATTAATACCTATATCGGGATCATAAGCGCTGTCCATTATAAACCGCGCACCGGGCAACGCGGTCTCACTGATCTCAATATTTATTTCTTCATTCGAGAATTTCGGGGCATGATCGTTTATATCTGTTATTTCTACAGTAATTCTATATAAGTGAATGGGATTTTCGAGAATAATTTCAATACTGAAACTGCATACAGTTGTTTTCTTACACAACGCCTCCCTGTCTATTCTCTCATTGACCACCAATATTCCTTTGTCTGTGTTCAGCTCCACGTACCGACTGCTGTCTCCGGCAACGATCCGAGCTCGGCCGCTTTTCAGCCTTTTTACGTCGATTTCCAAATCCACAGCGATATTGCCGATAATGGAGCCTTTAACCATCTCTTCCGGAATAGAGTATCGCATTTGTCCATGAGCCATGTACCAAATAGAAAGGAAAATAATC